AGTGTGAGAGAGAGAGTGTGTGTGTGAGTGTGAGAGAGAGAGTGTGTTTGTGTGTGTGTGTGAGGGGAACAGGGTCACATCACAGGAGAGTGAACTGCAGTCAGAAATCATAGCACGTCAGCTGTCTTAACTGCGGCTTGTGTACTGCATCATCACTGTGTCTGTTACGCGACTCTGTTGCACTTTCGGGCTTGAACTGATGGTAAAACTAACCACATTATTAACTGTCTTGATATTTACTTTGAAAGCTAAAGCTCGCAATTATGGTAAGGGGCGTTACATTTCCGACGCGTGCTTGTGGTGTTCGGCCAATCACAATGCACTGGGTCAGCTGGCCAATCAGGCCAAAACAATAATGTGTTTTTTGAAAATTAAAGCATGTCAACATATTCTGTTACACCAAATACACAAAATAATGATCTTTAAAATAGCATCATATGACCCCTTTAAGAAAAGGGAAAAAAATACATCAACGTTCTGCATGAGAATTGGTGTGTCTCCACTGAGATCTTGTGCTGGTCTGTGTTTGTTGAGCTGATCTGTCAGTATCTTCACCTCCTCGTGTGTGAAGACGAGCATCACCGGCTCTGACAGATGCTTGGTTTCTGCATTACTGACGACGGCCGTCACCACTTTAGAGTTGAGTTGATAAGTGACGCGTCTCTCTTCATCATCTGATCTCTCGCTGCTCATCTTGTGGAGCAGATCGCTGGATGAGTTCACTTTATAACTGACCAGAGCCGCAAACGCAAAACCTAAAGGAAAACGACGTTCACATCTCGTCAGGAAAGTGCTGATGGTTTCATAAGTACATATATGTGCACGTGTTTATTTGTACCTGGATATGATTTCCCTACAACTGTTTCCCAGCTGGTGCTGAAGAGGGCGGAGTCTATGCTCAGAGTGACACGCCCACTGGGCGGAGTCTGATTCCGTGTGACTGCAACCTCAGCGACTGTGAGTCACATCATGAAGATTGAATAATTTATCTCCATTCAGTACCAGAGTGTGACTGTGTCTAAACTGAAATGTGTGTGGTTCCTCACAGGTGTTGTGCGTCTCCATCCTGGTCACAGACTCTTTCAGCTGAGGTCCGATCAGACGCATGCTGTTCTCCACCGCGTCCAGAAACTGATTCAGCGTCTCGCCGTCAGCGATGTTTCCTTCAGACAGCAGCTCGTCAGAGGAAGTGAACACATTCTGTGGAATAAATCAGAGATGTTCATTCAGCCACTGTGCGTGTGCATTATCACAAACTACTGTGTGAATATATATCATGCAGTGAGTGTTTGACCTGCAGCAGCTCCTCTCCAGTGACATGTTCTCCGTGTGGATCATTCAGAGACTCACAGCTGTTCTTCAACAGTGACATCAGATGCTTCAACTAGAAGAAGACAAATGGAAACCTATAGGCATCTTTACACGACTGAATGAGGCTGCTCTGTGCCTGCTTAAAAATCTGTGTAAAGACACCTCATTGCCACATCAGAAGCAGTTCTGTGCCACTTTTGCAGTGTAAATTTGGAAACAGCCTTGCAATGTTTCTAAAATGTTAATACAACATTCTCCTAACCGTATCTTTACTCACAATACAACACTCTTTGAATGTTACCATTCAGCAAACAAAAATAACACAATCACAAAGAATGTTTTCTAAAAGCATTTTCTGTCAACATTATGAGAACATTCATAAGGTACAAATTACATCTTAAAATGTTGTTCTCAGAACGTTTTCTCTTTACAATGAGATGAGAATGCATATCGGATATTAATCATTTAAATGCATTAAATGTTTGTTATTTTAAGAAAGTTTTATCTTTACATTTACATAACTTATACATAAAACTTATTACTAATACTACTACTACTAATAATAATAATAAAAATGTGATCTCTCGCTGCTCATCTTGTGGAGCAGATCGCTGGATGAGTTCACTTTATAACTGACCAGAGCCGCAAACGCAAAACCTAAAGGAAAACGACGTTCACATCTCGTCAGGAAAGTGCTGATGGTTTCATAAGTACATATATGTGCACGTGTTTATTTGTACCTGGATATGATTTCCCTACAACTGTTTCCCAGCTGGTGCTGAAGAGGGCGGAGTCTATGCTCAGAGTGACACGCCCACTGGGCGGAGTCTGATTCCGTGTGACTGCAACCTCAGCGACTGTGAGTCACATCATGAAGATTGAATAATTTATCTCCATTCAGTACCAGAGTGTGACTGTGTCTAAACTGAAATGTGTGTGGTTCCTCACAGGTGTTGTGCGTCTCCATCCTGGTCACAGACTCTTTCAGCTGAGGTCCGATCAGACGCATGCTGTTCTCCACCGCGTCCAGAAACTGATTCAGCGTCTCGCCGTCAGCGATGTTTCCTTCAGACAGCAGCTCGTCAGAGGAAGTGAACACGTTCTGTCAAACACAGTGAGATTTAGAGGAATATTCCAGGTCAAACTGCTCTACCAACAAGAACAGAAATGCTGAAGAAAACAGGAGGAAAAAGAAAGCTGTTTGTTTCACCTCCAGTAACTGCTCTCCTGTCTTACGGCTGCCATTTGAATCACGCAGAGCCTCACAGCTGTTCCTCAACAGCGCCAGTAAATGCTTCAACTAGAAGACACAGAAATCAAAGTCTGAATACTGATTATTCACCAAATACTATCAAAATAATCATGAAGAGTCATTCTACCTTTACAGGCGCGTCCTCCAAGTGCTCAAAGTGGTCGCAGTTCATCTCTGCGCACAGCAACAAAACACAGTTAATTGTTTTGCACAGCTACACAATAAACACAGACACACACATGCAAGCTGATCGCTCACCGATGCATTTTGACTGGCCGTTGCCATAGTTACTGTAACCCTGGTGACATTTGCAGCTGTATCCGCCTTGATGATTGTAGCACTGTGCGTTTGTGCTGCAAACATCTGGATCATCTGTACACTCATCGATGTCTGTGAGAGAGAGAAGACTGTCAGTCATATGAATGCAGATTCCTGTTATGATATTGTTTTATTTAATAGTATTGCTTGCATTCAGATATTCTATGCATCTGTGAATCTTGACAAATAGTTTCCACAAATATTGTGCAGCACAACTGTTTTGAACATTGATGATAATCAGAAATGTTTCTCGAGCAGCAGATCAGCATATTATACTGATTTCTGAAGATCATGTGACACTGAAGACTGCAGTAATGATGCTGAAAATACAGCTGCGCATCACAGAAATACATTACAGTTTAACAGAGATTCTCATAGAAAACAGCTATTTTAAATTGTAATAATATTTCAATGTCTTTATTTTAGATCAAATTTTTTTTGAAAGATGTCAAGAGGCTGTCTTACACTGGAAAACATCTAAATGAACTTTGTTAATACGATTGTAGCAGCCAAACTAAATGAGGTTCTGTCATGATAACTCTCGGAGGGATTGGCATGGTAATGTACATGACAATGTTAATGTATTTAGTCTTGGTGGAATAGATCTGCTACGCTGCTGGTGCGGCAGAGCAAGTACCGAGACTTGCTACTGCTAATACATCCACAACATGCTGCTGTGAGCATGTAAGAAATACTGCTGCTGCACATATAACACATGAATAACCCCCATATAGCATACATGAATCACCTCGTAGGGCGTTTGTGCAAACAACATCTGGATCTCTACACTCATCGATGTCTGTGAGAGAGAGAAGACTGTCAGTCATATGAATGCAGATTCCTGTTATGATATTGTTTTATTTAATAGTATTGCTTGCATTCAGATATTCTATGCATCTGTGAATCTTGACAAATAGTTTCCACAAATATTGTGCAGCACAACTGTTTTGAACATTGATGATAATCAGAAATGTTTCTCGAGCAGCAGATCAGCATATTATACTGATTTCTGAAGATCATGTGACACTGAAGACTGCAGTAATGATGCTGAAAATACAGCTGCGCATCACAGAAATACATTACAGTTTAACAGAGATTCTCATAGAAAACAGCTATTTTAAATTGTAATAATATTTCAATGTCTTTATTTTAGATCAAATTTTTTTTGAAAGATGTCAAGAGGCTGTCTTACACTGGAAAACATCTAAATGAACTTTGTTAATACGATTGTAGCAGCCAAACTAAATGAGGTTCTGTCATGATAACTCTCGGAGGGATTGGCATGGTAATGTACATGACAATGTTAATGTATTTAGTCTTGGTGGAATAGATCTGCTACGCTGCTGGTGCGGCAGAGCAAGTACCGAGACTTGCTACTGCTAATACATCCACAACATGCTGCTGTGAGCATGTAAGAAATACTGCTGCTGCACATATAACACATGAATAACCCCCATATAGCATACATGAATCACCTCGTAGAAGATCTATACAGGTGGAGCTGGGGAAGGAGGAGGGTTTCTGAAGCAGGCTGCAACTGCTACAGCAAGCACTAGTCATATATTTGAATGTTGAGCAGTGAGCTCATTGGCTACCGATACAGGAGAGAACCAATCAGCTGTGCCATGTGATAATGATGTCATTAGGTCAGATTGAGTTACACCTATCGGACTGCGCCATCTAGAGTTTCATGCCAGAACTCTGTTTTTACTATGCCAACAAAAGTCTCTGCGCTTCTGGATGAAAGCAGGACTTCCTAATCGACCGCTACTAGTTTTATAAATAGCAACTCGTACTGTTTTGCAATGTTTCTTTTTTGTATGGGAAACCCAAGACAATCTCAAACATTTGTCAAAACGTGTAGTAAACACCAGATCTCACTGCATGAGACACAATTATGTCAAAATGCAACTCAACTTGATCTATCTCCAGTGTGACAAATCACCCATCCTTTCTATCAGACGTTTTTACATGTTTTGCAAAGGCAAATTTAATGCTTACATTTACTAGATGATAAATGATTGGTACTTGCATGCAAAGTTATAGTGAAATCGTGTAGAGAAGTAGCATACTGCAGTTTCACAGAGTCTATTGCATACAGTAAGCTGCTATTTCATCCCAAACAGAGCCCATCATTAATATAGTACTGAGCTGTTGGCAAGAACTGATTATATGAACTTATATTCTATGCTTGAAAAAACGCTAAATGCATCACACAGATCTTGAATGGTTATAATCAGGGTAGAAATTAACCAGGGCTTTGGGGGAAAATGTTAGAATTTGTTATCTAATATTTATCTATGTAAATATTTGATGTTCTGATGATGTAATGATGTTCTTTGCTTTGATCAGCAGTCAAAAAATAAGCAGTATGATTGAGGACACACACCTAAACAATCTCCGTCCAGTCTTGAAGGCTGGTATCCATCTCGACATGAGCAATTGTAGGAGCCGATGGTGTTCACACACTCCAGATCACCTGAGCAATCATGTGTTTCCTCAACACACTCATTAATATCTGTTGGGGAAGCAGTCGATATTAGTTACAGTAATTAAAACAGTACTGGATGGACTCTTATGTCCCATAATCCTCTCTCGTACCCCTACACTGTCCCGTTGCTGCTGTCAAGTTGGGTGTTGTTGACCGAAATCCTTCATTCAAGCAGTATGATTGAGGACACACACCTAAACAATCTCCGTCCAGTCTTGAAGGCTGGTATCCATCTCGACACGAGCAATTGTAGGAGCCGATGGTGTTCACACACTCCAGATCACCTGAGCAATCATGTGTTTCCTCAACACACTCATTAATATCTGTTGGGGAAGCAGTCGATATTAGTTACAGTAATTAAAACAGTACTGGATGGACTCTTATGTCCCATAATCCTCTCTCGTACCCGAACACTGTCCCGTTGCTGCTGTCAAGTTGGGTGTTGTTGACCGAAATCCTTCATTACAGAAGCAGGAGTAGCTTCCAGGTGTATTTACACACTGAGCGTGATTGCCACACACACCCGGCGTCACACACTCATCCTCATCTGTAAGAGAGACAATCAGGAAGGAAACATTACAAAGTTAGAAGAGAACTACAGTTACACAAATTCCCATTGTTTGAGTGACATACAGGCCATTAACTGTGTGTTATGCCAGAAACATATTGTATTAAAACACATAAAGTGCTCATTACCAAAACAGCTGCTGTTTCTTCTTTCAAATCCCTTGTCACATGTGCGAGATTCACAAGACACCAGGAACAGACCTGATGAAGAAAAAGAAAAAACAAGATCTTATTTTTGTGCTACTGAGTGTTTGAAATAACACAGCTCCAGTGTGTTATTTCAAACGGTGTTATTTTAAGTGTCCTCCTTCCACTAGCAGATCTAGTGATTATGTGTAAAGTTCATGTTGTTGATTCAGTAACACTCTGACAGAGTTCATTCAGAGAAAGATTCGCCAAACTGGTACCTCGTGATTCTTTTTGAACGGTTCACTAAGAGACCCGGCCCATCATTTGAACCAGACTACACTGATTGTGAGATATGTTTTTGATTCACTAAAAATAATTGATTCATACGAGTCATTTGACTTGGACTACACAAGTTCTGTGGAATGTTTTCCATTCACTTAACAGAACCGACTTATACGAGTCATTTGAAATGGATACACTGGATGCATGGTATATTTTTGATTCACTAAAAACAACATACTCATTTTAAGAGTCATTTGTGAATTGGACTACACTAGTCAAACTGTGTTTGAGTTTGTGTTTGTTGTCGCGTGCAGTGCAGTCAATTTAGAATGAAAGCAATGCAGCTCTGCAAACAGAGAGGTAACTTTGACATGACTTTTCCATGGCGCTGTGGATTTAAACGCTGCAAGATATGAGTGAATAAGATGCAGTCTTCACCGTGGCATGGTTAACTTTTGAACACATTTCAAGAGGACATGTGTGGACTGTTAGCATTCAACAGAATGCAAGAATATTGTATCTGTCTCGTCTTGTGTTCAATACAAGGTAAGTATTCAAAAAGTAATTAACCAACGTTTATAAAGTCTTAATATCGGTATTGAAAGTGATGAAATGGGGGCTTAATACAGTTTTTAGATCCTTAACAAGTAATGCCTGTACATGTATTGTTAGAGCACTTGGTTGCAGTCTGCATGCAAACAAAACATGCACTTTCACATATATACAAAACACTCATCTACTCGCACACACAAATGACCCCAAACGATTGTGGACGTGTTCAGGAAACCACAGATGTGCTGAAGATGTCTATTACGAGCTGAAGCAAGCGAGATGTGTCGAGCGATTCTACGGACTAAATGAACATTTCTCACAACTCTCAGAATAATCTGTTCTTCTGCAGAACGAGAGAGCGCTTCACACCATTTTCAGATCTTCTTTTCTCACCTGCTGTCTTTCAGTTTAACACAGAGCAACAGACGTGATGCTAGATATTCCACCCAACACACACTCACGTCATGCATTTCTTTTTTGGTTAACGTTGTGATATTTATTTCAATCTTACATGTCAGTGTCAAATCCAATGTCTAAACTCAGTAAACTGTGATCATAGATAAACCCCTAAATAAAGTTTAAGGGCAGTGAGTGTTTTTTTGTCTATATATTTATCTTTCAGTTTGACTGTTGGTGGTCTGTATAAGCAGAAGATGGCATTTGAGTAACTAGTTCAGCATTGTGTGTCAGGGGATCATGTGTGTGTATAAGTCTGAACTAGAGCGGATGTTCATCTCATCCATCTGTGGTTACTCTTCCGCAAGTTTCACAGTAACATTTGGCAAAATCGTGGTCGACTTCTAGATATAATTCTGCACTCGTCTCAACCCTCCCACAAGACTTTCTTTCTAGCATCTTATATTTTCACTAAGACATTATTTAGTATGTTTATTAAGATGTTTCCTCTTGGGAATGAATTTCAGATTTTATGGTCCCTGTTGGGACTTTTGGCTACATGTGTATGTATGCAAACCTTAACCCACAAACATGGTGCAAAATGAACACCAAGTGTCAAATGAAGGTGAGGGTGCCCACACATTAGATTTTACACTGCATCAGAAAGCATTTCAGTCTGATGCTGACGAAAAACACAAGAGCTTGTGAAACTGAAGCTCCGTCATAAAAGTTGAGAAAGCTTTAACTGTGCTGCACCACATTCTCACAGAGCTGCGCTGATCATTGAGAATTACAGAGAAGCGCTTTTGCTTGAAGAACTTTTAATATTCTTGGAACCTTTCAATTGGCAAAAAAAAAGGTTCTTTCAGTTTAGGTTTTTAAAATGTTCTTCAAAAATGGTTCTTTGAAGACCTGTTCACTGAAAGGTTCTTTGGGAAATGCTAAATAGTTCTTCTTTGGCTTTGGTGAAAAAAAACAAAACATTTTGGAACCTTTATTTTTAAGAGTGTAAAATATTCTAGTCTAAAGTGAAATAATAAGTTCTATATAATTAAAGAAACTGGATGTGACGTCATGAGTTTCACTCAATCAGCCTGTGGTTGAATGTAAATTATTATAAAAAATTTAAAATGAAACAAAAATAACCTAAATAACCTTTTTTCACTATAAAGAACATTTCGTGGAACGTAAAGATTCCAAGGATGTGTAAAGGTTCTTCATGGAACCATCACTGTGAATAAATAACTTTTTGTTTTTAATAAGAGTGCTGGTGTCTTCAGCCCTTTTCTTCAAAATGAGAACTGTATTTCTTTCTCTACAGATGAACTAAATGAACTACTTCAATGAAATCCCACATTAACAAAAAGGTATAAAACCTTTAATATCCACCATTAAATAAACTCACTATAGATCCATTGACCAATATACACACACACTCACACACTCACACACACGCGCACGCGCGCACACACACACACACACACCACACACACACACACACACACACTGCTCAAATGACCAGTCCAGCTTCAACTTAAAGATACTCAACACACACAAACACCTACTCACCCGACAGAAGAAGTGCCCACTTCAGCTCCATGTTAGGAAACACCGTAACTGCTGTCAGTCTGTTTATGCTTTGGTTTATGATATGAAATTCCCCAAAGAAACCTGTATTCCAGTAAGCCGTCACAGTCTTTCACTTTCTGCCCTTCAGGACTCCTGAGGTCTCCTCTGTCTGATAAGAAGCTCCTTGGGACCTTCTCGTCTTTCACTCTTGGTTCTGCTCTGTTTGTCTTAATCCCCGCGGTCGGAGAGTTTCCACTATTTTATCTTCTTTTCCCCGCTGGCCTCGTCCGCTATTCCGTCTGCGCTCTTCAGATAGGACTCCTGAGGTCTCCTCTGTCTGATAAGAAGCTCCTTGGGCCCTTCTCGTCTTTCACTCTTGGTTCTGCTCTGTTTGTCTTAATCCACGCGGTCGGAGAGTTTCCACTATTTTATCTTCTTTTCCCCGCTGGCCTCGTCCGCTATTCCGTCTGCGCTCTTCAGATGTGTGCGCTGCTACTGGGCGAGGAGAGAGAGAGAGAGAGAGAGAGAGAGAGAGAGAGAGAGAGAGAGAGTCAGGGGGAGGGAGGGAGAGAGAGTCAGA